CATTTTATTGGGGCTGTTACAGCTCTTATCACAATCCATCATACATCCATTGTGTTGAGCACATTTGTACAGTACATATGTTGTCATCATTACTTTCAAAATTCTCTCTACTTGAGGCTTTGGTATGAGCTCGTTTTTCTCCCTCCCTCATGAACTCTTGACAAATTCTTAATTATTATTTTCATCTTACATCATCCACTGTCTCCCTTCACCTACTTTTCTGTTGTTTGTCCCCCTGGGGGAGGGTGGTGGTGGTTATATGTCCATCACTGTGATCAGCAGTTCCTTCTTTCTCCCCCCCACCTTCCCCCTACCCTCCTGTTATGGCTACGCTCATTATTGGTCCAGAGTTTATCGGTCCTGGATTCCCTGTTTTCAGCTCTTATTGGTACCAGTGTACATGCTCTCTAGATGGATTTGTAAAGTAGAATTGGGGTCATGATAGTAGGGGTAGGGGGAGAAAGCATTAACGAACTAGAGGAATGTACAAATGTGCTTGACACAATGGATGTATGGATGGATAGTGATAAGAGTTGTACAAGCCCCCAATAAAATGATTTAAAAAAATAAACTAAACTTTAAAAAAAAGGAAAAAAGAACTAGAGGAAAGTTGTGTCATTGGTGCTATACTGCATCCTGACTGGCTTGTCTCTTTCTTGTGACCCTTCTGTGAGGGGATGTCCAATTGTCTACAGATGGGCTTTGGGTCTCCACTTCGCCCTCCTCCTCATTCATTGATATGACGTTTGTTCTGGGTCTTTGATGCCTGATACCTGATCCCATCAACACCTCATGATCACACAGGCTGGTGTGCTTCTTCCATGTGAGCTTGGTTGCTTCTTAGCTGGATGGCCACTTGTCTACCTTCAAGTCTTTAAACTCCAGATGCTTTATCTTTTGAAAGCCAGGCACCATCCGCTAGCTTTCTTTACATTTGCACATGCACCCATTTTGTCTTCAGCGATCCTGTCAGGAAGTTGAGCATCACAGAATGCTGGGTTATTAGAACAAAGTGTTCTTGCATTGAGGGAGTACTTGAATAGAGGCCCAATGTCCATCTGCTACCTTAATACTTAACATATATGTACATAGATTTCCTATTGTTTTATATATATGTACATGCCTGTATTTAGACCTCTGTAAATGTCCTTTGCCTCCTAGTTCTTTCCTCTATTTCGTTTTTCTTTCCTCTTGTCCCACTATCAAGTTTGGCGTTCATTTGGGTTTCAGTAATTCCTCTTGGCTACATTGTCCCTGATCAAGCCCCACCAGGCACCCTATGCCCTCCTTGCCATTGATTTTAGAACACTTGTTGTTCCCTTGCCCGTGGGTTTATTTACACCCCCCATCTTTTCCCCTGCCTCCCCCTCTCCAGTGTCCCCCCCGGAACTGTAGGTCCTGTTGTTTTCTCCTCCAGATTGTTTATCCCACCTCTCTTATCTAGATCGACATGCAGAGACAATAATAAGCACAAAAATAAGACAAAGTAAAAATAAAACAAGAAAAGAAAATAAGCAAAAAACCACCAATGACTAAAGAGAAAAGCCTGTAAATACTTCCAGGTCTGTTTGTTGACCTTTAGGAGTGTTTTCAGGTTGAATCTGATGGGGTGCCAGGTCAGGCCCCAAAGTCTATTTTTGGCTTTCTCCAGGGACCTCACTGCTTTGCTCTCCTTGCTGCTCTGTGACATGCCCTTAGTGTTTCACCCTGGTGTGGTGCGGTCAGATTGGGTACAATTCCCACACTGTGTCCCCAGTGTTGTCCTCCGTAGCACTCTAGGTCGGTGAAGGATGTCGTGTCTCGTGGTGGGGCCGGCCCTATGGTCCTCTCTGTGCATTGGCTGCTCTGGCATGCTCGGCTTCTAACCCAAGGCCAGCAATTTGAATCTGCCCAGCAGCTCCATGCATTCACATAAATATTACATCCAACCAAACCCCTTGGGCTGTTCTCCACTGTCACGTGCGGTTGCTGAGTTGGAATAGACTCAATGGTACATAAAAACAACTACATGAACTTTTTTTTTATTAAAAAATTTTTTTACATGTACTTCTAAAGAAGACACAAAATACCAAGGGCTATGTTATCTCATGCTCGTTCACGCGATCTACAGCAATGAAATAATAAACAGAAATACCAAATGTTTACTATGTGTTTTCAATTTACAAATATGAACAATAGTTACGTAACATGACATATCCGTATTTATACAGCGCTAGGTAGAAGGCAATAAGGAATACTGGATTTAGGGTTAATGACCCACATGCAATACAAGTGTTTTCCAAAAGCATGGTATAATATGAAAATAATTATTAAAGAATACATTGGGGTAAAAATCATGGACAGGTATTAATTACATGGCTCAGAACCTACATTGCTTATATTACCAATTACAATGCTTTTTCCTTATTTGGAAAAAATGCAAGCTCACTGACTTATGTCGAAGTTTATTTTCAATAAATCACTGTCATAATATGATAAATGTATAGTTAATTTGTTTATCTGTAATCTTTAAACATAATTGAAGAGCAAAACCTGAGAGCTCTTAAGCTATGAATTCAAATTGTATAAAAAATTATGTTGGAGGAAACGTCACCTGTGACAGCTTAGTAAGTGTAAACCAAATAGATGTAAACACAATAGAAAAATATGTCAAACCTAATACAATCATAAAGACATAGCTATGCACCATTTCATGAGCTGCATATTCATCTCACAGAGCAAGCTCCACTGCCAGAGTGAGCTGGTAGGTGTACTGGAGCAAAGTCAAACTCAAAAACTCACTGCCACGGAGTCTTTGCTGACTCTTGGCGACCCCATAGGACAGGGTAGTATTGCCCCTGTGAGTTTTCAAGATTGCAACTCTTTATAGGAGTAGAAAGCCCCACCTTTCTCTTATAGAGCGGCTGGTGGTTTCGAACTGCTGGCCTTGCAGTTCGCAGGCCAATGTGTAACCACTGTGCCACCAGGGTTCAAAAGAATGGAGCACACCGAGTCAGTAATAATACAATTCAGAATTTTAAAATATACTTGAAAACAATGTTCAACATTTATTTATGCAAAAGTCATACAAATCAGAAAAATACTGTGAAAATCACTCTTGAAGAACGTAAGAGTATAATCATCTTATCAGTGTTGCAAAACATAAGCAAATTTCAGTTTAAAAATGATCTACAGAGACAACTGGGGATTGTTTGGGCTATCAATATGAAGTTCATTGTTGAAAGCCAGACTTGTTTTTTAGTTAGTGCTTTCTAATTTATTATTTGGTGAATAACAGTAATGGGAAAATAACATGTTCAATTATATCACATATGTACCAAAGCAACTTATGTATTTACAAGTTATGAAAATAAATCTTTCTACAGATATAAAAATAAACCAGAACTATTTACAAGTTTTAAAAAATATGGCAAACTAACCCAATAATCACGACATTTTGTTGTTTGCTAGGATTATATTGTCTGAACGTTATCTCATAAATTATATTAGAAATCTTTGATCCACCAAGGTTTTAGATGCCAAATTCCTCTGTCCTACAGTGTTACGAATAAATCTAAAAATCTGAAAAAAAAGAAAACCAGTTCAGAATGAAGAGAAACACCAAGAAGACCACGTATGCACATCAGTTCGAATAGCTAAATTAAATTAGATAATTCACTAATCTACTCATCTATCAGATAAGAATTCTGTGGTGATACACAAAGTGTAAAGACTAGACAACCATTCTCTCTAAATATCAAACACATGTATGTTCCTACTTCGAATATATCTTTATGAACCAGTAATACCAGTCATCTCAAATAAGAGTCACTTTTAAAGATTTATCAATGCTACTTTCCTCTAAAACCTCGCAGCCTCTGTTCATGATTCTCAGTAGCTTGAGTAAGGACTAATAAAGAATGCCTTACTGACTGGTGTACTTCCGGGACACTGTGGAAAATATTCAGATAACATTAATATTTCAAGAAAAGGCTTTCCAATACTTGGAATTACCACTTCAGCCTCCACTAGCATCCCTTTTTACACCCCCATGTAGAGAATGTGTGCGTGAGAAGACAAAAGGGCTTGTCCGTATCTGGGCAGGAATTGCAGCGCTTGTTTGGTTTTTTGCTATGTTAACATCTAGTGCAGAGGGTCAATGGGACTCACTACTGCTGACTCTGACAGCAGTTTAAGTAGCTAGGATTGTTTTCATGCTCAAGCCACCTATGTTCTCCCCTAGACCATAGGATTTCATGAATCCTAGTGAACATCACACAAAAGGTTGGTTGAAGTGCTATTCTTTTTTTTGGCATTCTAAACTTTTACAAACACCTACTAAAAAATAAACATTTCTTTTATCATACCCAGAAAAAGATTGAAAAATGTACCTCTTGTTGTAAGTATGTAAGGAAGGCTGCTAACACAAAATTTTGGCAAGCCAAATCCACAACACAGAAGAAAAGTAGGTCAAAGATAAGGAGGGTGGCTTCATTCCCATAGTAGAGAACGCTGCTGAAAGAATAAGCTTCATCTATTTTTAAAAAAAAAAGAAGCAATAAGACAGATTTTAAAATAGGACACATATCTAATGTCAAATCTGAATATATAAACCATTGCATTAGGAGCTAGTTACTATAAATATACTTCACGGATTAAGAAAATAAAAGGCTATAAATTTGTTACTGTGAAGATAAGGAACTCTGCTCATAAAAATCAGTTTGGTTGACAATTGACAGTAATTTAAGCACACAGTCAATTCCTTTCACAGATGAGGTAGTGAGTATCCTTTCTCTATTGCTTTATATAACCAAGGGCTAAATTAATCTCAGAAAGTTACAGTAAAAACAAAAGGGCAGAAGAGTACACAATGTGCTACAATATGTGCCTCACGCACACACTATACCAGAACAAACGAATCTGTCTCCAGAGAAGCACAGCCAGAACGGCCCTCAGAAGCGAAGATGGCGAGACTTCTACTCCTATGTTTTGGACTTCTTTTCAGAGAGCCCGTCCCTGGAACATCATGTCTGTCAAGTACAGTGGCGGGCCAGTGACAAATAGTGAGAACTATCATAGGAAGACTGGCACAAGGTCTGCAACTATAGGCTCAAACATAACAGAAATTGTGGGGATGGGATGGCATAGGACTGAGCAAAATTTTGTTCTAGTGTATACAGGGTCGGAACCAACTCAATGGCTTCTAACAACAACACACAAACACACAATGGTTTGCCTGTTTCATGAGGAGCCCTGGTAATACAGCGCTTACTCGTTGGGCTGCGATCCGAAAGATCCACGGCTTAAATCACCGGCTGCTCCTGGAGAAAGACAGGGCTTTCTACTCTCATAAACACGGAATGATTCCCCTGGGCAATTCTACCCTGTTCTATAAGTTAGCATCGCCTTGATGGCAATGAGGAGCTTTGGAGGGGCTTTTGTTTGCTTGTGTAGTAGTTACATAATCTGATGTCAATTTGAGACTTGAAAGGATGAAGAGTGAAGGGGTGGAGTCTAGGCTGTCAATCAGGTCATAGCCAGTGAGGCCTCTGTGTGGGCATGGCCTTCCCCTGAGGATTCTGGGAATTCCTATATTTTTCCTCCTTGGAGGTGGGAGAGTCTCTCTCTGTTCACTCCCTGAGAGACCCTCACTGGGAAGGCACATGGCACTATGCTGATAGGTCCCGTGCCCTGAGAACTGGAGGAACCATGTGGAGACCCCTGCCAGCACTGAGATGCTTCTACCGCCACTGAATCCACAAGACTTCCCACCCACTGGCTTGTGATCTTCCTGCATTCACCATCATTGCATGTGTTTCATGAGTCTGGAGAGTACTTTATAGATTGGTATCAGACATACGGGCTAATATCGACTTGATCTGGACTGGGCTGGGATGTTTTCTCAATATTCAACTCCTCTTATATATAAAGCTCTTTCCTATACACGAGTGTCCATGAATTTGTTTCTCTAGCCTACCCAGACTGACACAGTTTGCTGGTGTATACATAAAATGTCTATGGAAGGAAGAAAACAATAGATAACATTAACATGAAATGGAGGGAACTGGTTAATCAGGGACAAGGAGTGAAACTTCATTATATATTGTATTTGAATTCAAATGTTGAATCCTATGTTAAAAATAAGAGATTAATGTAGGCTCTGTATCATATTCAATTTTTAAAACCAGTGAGTTGTGAGATATCTCTTTACAAAACATATACTTTTGCATACATATTTCTCTATGTAAATGCATATACACATATATAATACAAATATATATCTATAAAATACATAAGTCTGACCACCAGTTGAAGGAAGCAGAGAGAAGTAGGAACCAATTGAAAAATAAAAGAAGTTGCAAAAAGCCCACATGAAAGAAACACACCAGCCTGTGTGATCATGAGGTGTCAATGGGATTAGGTACGAGGTATCAAAGACCCAGAACAAAAAATTCATATCAATGTGAATGAGGGAGCACATGGAGTGGAGGCCCAAAGCCCATCTGTAGACAATTGGACATCCCTTCACCAAAGGATCACAAGGAAGAGACAGTAAGGGTGCAGTATAGCACCGATGAAACATACAACTTTCCTCTAGTTTCTTAATGCTTCCTCCCACCCACTATCATGACCCCAATTCTACCTTACAAATCCAGCTAGACCAGAGCATGTCCACTGGTACAGATAAGGGCTGGAAACACAGGGAATCCAGCAC